TTGTAAGAATGGTGCACATCAGTGGGAGTATCCATTAAAATACATCATGAAGAAATTCGAGTGGTGTCCTCTTTGCTAGCATATTACTGAAAGAAATCTACAATATATTTTCGAGGACCTGTTAGGAAAGAAATTCCCATCCTGTAGACCATCATTTTTGAATGAAATGCATTTGGATGGTTATAACGAGGAATTGCACCTTGCTTTTAAATTTCAGGATCCTCAACACTATTATCTTAATTTAATGTTTCATAGGAGAGGGGGTATAGATTTGGAGGAACAAAATCACGAGATCAGAAGAAGCAGGATATATGCAAAGAGCAAGGTATATGTCTTATCGAAGTGCCGTATACATGTGATCTTCTTCCTTACATTAAGCATACGCTAATCGAGAAAGGATTCTTGAATAATTCTTCAAGTTAAGTGAGCTGGCTTCACGATGACCTGTCTGAAAATTTCATAATATATTTTTAAAGTATGATATTAAGCAATATGAAAGATCATAAAAAACATCAAGTCAAAAAGCTTGATCAGGCATATAGAATTGTTCTTCATATTGATGAGATTAAAGATGCAAAGAGGTTTAACGGATTGAATCCAACTCCTCAATGGCCCTTTACAATTCTAATTAGTGATCGTACAAATTCAGGAAAAACTAATGAAGTTGTGAACCTATTATTAGGGAATAAGCTTTATCGAATGTTTAAAGGTAAAAAAGGAGGGACACGGTATATTAAAAATGATGATCTTCTTTTGATTGGCCACCACCTCGAGGAGCCAAAATACTTATATCTCAAATCTGGTTATCAGATAATTGCGAATAGTCCAAAACCATATTGTGAAGATATCACATTTCGGGCTATGAAGCCTGATAAAATTCCAAAGCTGGATTCATTCTCTCCAGAAAGAGGTACAGTGGCCATATTCGAAGATGTATGCGTTGATTCAAAGAAAGTCCAGAAGAAAATCATTCCTTATTTTACTGAAGGACGTCACAAAAATATTAGCAGTATATACATCACATAGAGCTTTTTCGACTGCTTGAGAATAATAAAAAAAAACTTAAATTATGTTGTACTTTTCAATGGGTCCACTTCAGAAGAATTGAGCAGAATTCTTCGCCTATATGCTTATGATTGGCGTAGTATATATGAAGATGTCGTTAACTATTTGACTGATCGCAATTTTATTGTCTTTGATTTAACAGTGCCTCCAAACTATCCTCACAGGATACGAGCTGGATGGGATCAAATTTTTGAAAAAAAATGTCCAAGCTAATGAGTAGAATCTGACTTCATAGATGCCAGCTCTTTTTCCGCTTCCTGTAACTGCATCTTCAGATCTTTGATCTCATATCACAATTTCTTATTCACATTAATCTGCTCTCTATATTCTCTTTCTATGTCTTGCATGAATTTTTCGAAAGTTCTTTTATTATAATCAAGCAGGTACTGATAGAACACTTTAAGTTCATTCATGACCTGATGATTGTTTTTTTCCTCATAATCATGTTTTAGCGCTTCTGGCCAGTTAGCATTATTGGTTTAGACTCCAATGTTAGTAATATATATAGCCAGTGATGCTGGGAATACATTACATTCTGACCAGCTTCGAGGGCGTAATAATTTTATCTGAGCCATAGATTTGCATTTCCTATTTAATGAATTCTCATAAACCTCTAATATGTGTCTCAAATAAATTCAATTCATTCAGACTTCTTGGAAATAGATTCTAACGAGACAGGATCTTTAAAATAGTATAAGAGTCTCTCACATGCTCTCTTGACAAGACTTTCAGAAAGTATATTGATAATATGTTTATAGTCAGAATGGAACATTTTATTAGATATAGTTTTGCGCAAAAAAAGTTTGCCTACAAAAATTTACATGTCAGTTTTGTGACACATCTGACAAATCAGCTAGAAATATTAGCTCTGATCAAGAATTTCACGTGACATCCTGACCAATGGTCAGCAAAAAATCATGTGATTTTGACTGGGATGCCTCAGCTGAAAATTGCCAAGAAAATTTTATTATCTGATATATACCACACACAAAAACATGAATAAATATTTGCGAAATTGACTGCAAGGATTACTTTATTGATACATAATAAAAATAAATAATGCTTAGGATATATTCGAAAAAAATAAATCTAATTATTCTTGATTAGAAGATACTGTAGAGCTTTTTCGCTTAAGTCATTCTGATCTAGCTTCTGGTGCATTTAACAATAAAGAAATGTTGACAATTAAAATATTTCGTAAAAGTAGTAATGCCTTCACAAATTGCAACACATCACTCCCATCAGCTGGTTGAATTGGAATTTCAACTGAATGCAAATGAAAAAGACGGTGAATATCATCAACATCCTTAATTAGAATGTTCAGGTGTATTATTTTTCTAGCGATTTGGAGTCCTAGAATCCCAAACTCATTTTTATCTGGTTTACAACCTTTATGGACCCAAGCCATTCCATCATTCATTTCCCTTCAGAGCTTTACATTGTCATTCTCTTCTTTGATTTTGGTATAGGTTATACAAGAAGATTCTATGAATATAAGTTCATATAATTTTTTTCACTCCCTTCCATGAACATAACATCGGGTCTTTTACCTTGTTTTCCGTCTCCTCTTCTATCAGCACTAGCTACACTTTGTCGCTCCGCACTAAATAAAAAATAAATTTATAAGTTTATTGCTAACATATAATATAAGTATATGAAATGGAGACTTACGTGCTTAGTAAAGCAATTTTTCTAACTGGAAGCTTTTTCAATGTTGCTCAGAGTAAAGGAACTATAACATCTGTCACATAAGTTCCTTCACTCTATGTATTTTCGAACTTTGGAGTAAAAGCAGGACTCTTTCATATATCACCACTTAAAATAGCTTTTAATAAGCGTTAAATATAACAGTTTTAACAATAAAAAAAATACTTACAGGGTATTAAGAATTTCTCCTGTAATCTTCACTAGAACTTCTTCTGATTCTTTCCAAGTCTTG